ACTTGGTAAGAGCTCTATGTGATAAGAGCTACTTGTTCACCTCGCGGCCTGCTGCCAGCCTGCCTCGGAGTTACACCAGTAGCGCTCCTGAGGGACAGAGGGAGATCAGGAGTGATTCTGTGCTTCAGCAGTGGCCAGTCATTGTCATATGTGGGTGCCTATACATAGGTATATTTTTATTTTATAAGCCTTTGCATTGATTTTCCCTTTGTTATATTAATTCCAGTGTGGAAAAAGTGCTTTGCTATCGTGTTGGACTCAGCTTCATCTGTGAGACTTACCAGTGGTTACTGTGGCACAATATTAAATGGCTATTGTTTGGTTCGGAAAATACACAGAGCAGAGCAGGAGCTGCTCTGTATGTGCATGGGTTAGAACACACCAAAGTTGCATCCATTCTCTTGTCTGTGTAATTGCTCTGGGTCCTATAAGAGCTACATAGGAATTCTGTTTTATACCTAAACGATGCTAATGGGACCTTCTAAACAAATATTTGGGTTTTTTTTGAAGCCAGTGGTGTTTCCTTGGTGCGGGGAAACATTTTCACTGTCTAGTCACAGAATATATCCTAAAAAATATGTATATATCTATTTCTTGCAAGTAGACCAGAAAGAGTAAAAGGCAACTGCTCCTGAATAACTTATTAAAATAATCTGACTTTTCAAGTGTGAGCATCTAACTCTTTCTGATTTTATTACCTTTAGCCTAGGTAGACAGTGACCCTTTACATGTGCTGTGATTTTTTAATGCATAGTTTTTAGCTTGAGAAATTAAATTATTCACATCCAAATTTTTCCAAGGTAGCTGGAGGAGCTTTTAGAAAGCAATTTGTAACAGTACAAATATTTCATTAGTACATGGGCCTTTCTTGAGCATTTATGAGGTGATATGAAAAAAAAATAGTAACAATTCTGAAGTGTGCTCCCTATTGCAATTGTTTATATTAATACATTATTTCTATGCATAACAGTTTCATTTGAATAAAAAGCAGCGAGCAAGATGTTAAACAGAAAAAACAGGCAAAAATTCCTCCCAAACTTCATTGCCCATTAGAGGCTAAGTTAATAGCACTTGATATCTTCAGAACTGCAATTTGGAATTTAATCAGAACATCTCTGTTTTCTTGTACATAAATCTTTTGAGAATGTTGTGATTATTTCAGCTGAAAGCCTCCCATGTATATATTTGGCACTATACTTGAGCAGTTTTTCTGAAGTTCTCATTATAACCACACAATAAGCATTTTGATGGCTCTTTTTAAAGGTTTTTTTACAATGCAGTTCCCACTGCCGAAACCAACTTTATGCAGTGTTTCTTTCAGGTACAGAACTGAGTAAGAACAGTTTTCTGTGTTTAATTCTTGTGGAAAATAATTACAGGAGTAGAAGAGTTTATTAAATTGTTGCCAGTTGTTTAAAGAAAACAAAAAAAATCCACACAGGCTTGCTGAACACTGCATTCACTACTAAAGTAAATATGTGAATGTTCAGCATGTTTGCTGTCTTTCAGAATGTTAGTTAGGTGATACAGAAAGCAGATGGCAATGCCTGCCAATTTTGGGCATTGTGTGTGGCGGCAGGTGCTGCATCCTGTGCATAAATCTCCTAAAGGAGACGTGTTAAACCAGTAGGTAATTGGAATAAAGATCAAGAGAGTTATAATGAAATGCATCCAGTAAGGTAGTAGACTTGTATATGAACTGGGGTTAGTGTTAGAAAGAAGACTGTTCGGGATTTAAAGTTTGCAGAAATAAGACTGTTAACTTGTTAGGTTTACTTTTCCAACTGTCTTGAGATTCATTCTTCTTTTGCATCTTGTGAGAAGAATGAAATGGTTTTACAGTGGTTTTGCTAAGTGAATTTTTAGTGCTGAATATACATGTATTTATACTTCTGTAAAATTTTGTATTTAGCCAGTGAGAGACAACACTTTAAAGTCAATGCATTAATTGAAATGTTTATAACAGGGAATAAGTATCACTGAGGAGTTAATCTTTTGTTAGTGTGGAACATGACTTAAATATAGTAAGCATGCATTTTTTTTCTGCATTGGTGACGTGTCTTTTGCTGATGGCAAGACATCAGTCCAGCATTTGTGACCTGTCTTGCTTTTACAAACAATTCAGTTTTGAATAGCTTATTGTAAGAAACGTTTTAAATAAACATTCCACCATGGGGGTTTGGAAGATGCATAGGGAATGGAAGATATGATGCATTAAGTGTACATACTTATATGTCAGAATGCTGTTTTATTGAGATGTGACATTTCAAACTGTTTACATTCCATAAATATTTTATTCTTTACTTACCTTTCAGAGTGTCTATTCCCTTGGTAGCCATATGCATACAGAAGTGTGTAGGTATACTTTATTAAATACCAGCACTCAGTGTTTCAGACTTTAGGAATCATGTGGGTTTGGTTGGGTTTTTTTTCAGTGTCTTCCTCCTCCTTCTTTTTTCCTGCTGCAATTCAGAGATCAAAACAATCTCATCTCCCACTGTCCAGCACATCACAGAATCACAGGATGGTAGGGGTTGGAAGGGACCTTTGGAGATCATCTGGTCCAACCCCCTTGCTAGAGCAGGTTCACCTACGACAGGTTGCACAGGATGGCATTCAGGTGGGTTTTGGTTGTTTTCAGAGAAGGAGCCCCACAGCCTCTCTGGGCAGCCTGTTCCAGTGCTCTGTTACCCTCATGGTAAAGAAGTTTTTCCTCATGTTGAACTTGAACTTCCTGTGTTCCAGTTTGTGACCGTTGCCCCTTGTCCTGCTGCTGTGCACCACTGAAAAGAGTCTGGCCTCATCCTCTTGACACCCAGCCTTTAGATATTTATAAGCATTAGTAAGATCCTCTCTCAGTCTTCTCTTCAGGCTAAACAGACTCAGGTCTCAGCCTTTTCTCATAAGAGAGATGGTCCAGTCACCTTCATCACTCTGCCCCTTCATCCAGGTAATATGGTCAGCACAGCCCCTGGGGTTTCCTAGGGATGTGATTTTGATTGCCAGCTCACAACTGGTATTCTCTCTTTGCCAGTCTTAAAAGTATAAAATGCTCTCAGTTTAAAAAAAGATTGAAATATTAAAGAAAATATGAGATTTGTCACTGGTTTCAGTGAAGTCAGGATCTCACCCTGGGCTTTAACAGCCTGTTATGAATTGCAGTAGTCGGATGTTTTTCTATCATACCAGTGTTTATTTGGCTTCTCCTTTTTTTGACATTTGACTTTTTCTCCTCCTCTGCCCCAGCCATTCCGTCAGAATTTTATTTCTGCAGCAGTTACTTATATGATTTCATCTGGCTCCTGATTCTTCTCACTGTTGTAATTTTGTCCTGAGTTTATTGCCTCCGTATAGACTTTTTTCAGATTTCCATCATAATTTCAGAAGAAGATGGTATTTAGAATGTGGAAAATTTGTTTGCTAATGACAGTAGGAGTAAAACAAACAACTAAAACCAAATTGCATTGCAGATATTTTTGATAATGAAGTAAACTGTTTCATTTTCCAAATTAATGTGTTGTTTCTTAGGCAAAGAATTTAGAATATGCTTTTGTATTACAGAACTGTGAAAGAAGCCAATACCTCCACTGCTAGAAGGGCAGATGACCAATTCAAACAAAGCAATGACTTTCTCTCTGTAATGTTTTAATATACATTTGAGCCTGGCCCAGACAATTAGTGTTCCTGATGTTCCAAATGTCGACCAGTTACTATCTCATTTTAGTTACTAAAGTGTCGCTCCAATAGATAACTCAAAGTGAGCGTCTGTAGAGTAAGCACCTGAGCTTTAGCAGTTATAGCATGTTCCCTTTGGCTAATAGAACAGCAACGTTTCTGCATTAGCCAAGCCACCTGGTAGAAAATGCACCACCATGTATGCTCTGTTGAAGTAATCTGTTCTGGAGATGGTAAGAGCATGTGTAATTGGCTACCTTTGTAATAATGAAATCTGGAGGGCCATGGGGAAGGTACTCTTGGAGGTGCGTTCTCCTTTCAGGTTGCCAGAGTAAGTCAGGTTCATGAATTCACAGAATCGGAATAGTTGAGGTTAGAAGCCTCTGGAGATCATCTGGTTCATGTTCCCAGCTCAGAGCAGTGTCAACTAGAGTAGATTACCCAGGACCATGTTTATTTGAGAGTAAAAAAAAAAAAAAAAGTTTTCTTTCAGATGGAATTTTGTGCTTTTAAATATATGCCCATTGCTTCCTGTCATGTTTTTGGGCACCAGTGAGAAAAGCCTGGCTCAGTCTTCTTTATACCCTCCCTTCAGAAAGTATATATAAAAAAAGATCTCTCCTGAGTCTGCTTTTCTCCGGGCTAAACTGTCTCAGCTCTCTCAGACTTTCCTCTTATGAGAAATGCTCCAGTCCCTTAACCAACTTTGTGTCCTTTTGCTGGACTTTCTTGTAGAATCATAGTATATTTGAAGTTGGAAGGGACCCATAAGGATCATCAGGTCAAGCTCCCTGCTCCTCACAGAATTACCTAAAACTAAACCATATGACTAAGAGTGTTATCCAGACACTCTTTGAACTCTGACAGGCTTGGTGCCTTGACCATTTCTGTGGGGAGCCTGTTCCAGTGACTGAGCACCCCCTGAATGAAGAACCTTTTCCTAATACCCACTTCTCCAGTATGTTCACGTCTGTCTTGTACTGGAGACCCCAGAGCTGGACATAGTGCTCCTGGTGTGTCTTACCAGTGCTGAGTACAGAGGGGAAGGATCACCTCCCTCAACCCACTGGCAAGGGTCCTCCTAACGCAGCCCAGGATGCTGTTGCCCTTTTTTTGTTGCAAGTATGCGTTGCTGACTCATGGTCATATTGGTGACCACCAAGACCACCCAGACCCTTTTCTGCCAAGCTGCTTTCCAGCTGTTTGACCATAGGATACGTTGGTGCATGCGGTTCCTCCCCAGGTGCAGGACTTTTTACGTCCTCTTGGTGAACTTCATGAGGTTTCTGTCAGCCCATTTCTCCAGCCTGTCAAGGTCTGTCGGGATGGCAGCACAACCTTCTGGTGTGTCAGCCACTCCCCTCAGTTTTGTATCATCAGCAAACCTGTTGAGGGTACGCTCTGCCCCACCATCCAGCATTTATGAAGATACTGAAGAGGATTATTGGGCTGAGTTCAGATTTGGTTTTCGTAGTGCATATAGTATTTTATGATGTATTTATTTATCCCTTTAGATTGTGTCCAGAAACATTATTGCATGTTTTGCTGCTATGACAGTATTTATACTTTTGCACTCTGTCAGCAATATGTTAGAAGCCGCCTAGCTGCCTTCTTCTCATGATGTTTTCTGTTGCAGTATTTCCCCCAGCTTCTTCAAATTGCTTTGCACTTCAAGACAGAAGGTTCAGTTTCCCTTTAGGAACTAAACTGCATGAGTAACTATTCCTGTTTTTTATTCTGGTGTGTATATTTGCAGAAAATGGTGTTTTCAAGAAGGAAATGTCCTGTGTATGAACACCTTTCTGTCTTCATCCTCAGGGTTTGCTTCTGTGCCAGTGAAAGGGAGTTGCCGTTCATATTCTAGCCTGGCATGGGATTTCCAGACCCGATGCTCCTTCTCTGCACCCTGGAATGTGACCGTTGAGCAATGCAGAAAAAGCAGTTTCTTCAATACATGTAAGTCTTGAATTGGATTAAAATTGCCTGTGGTAAGGGAAAAAGGAAAGAAAATTTTGCGTTGCAGAGACGCAGTCTTGGAAATCTATGTATAGTAACTTTCTGCATCTACTCTAGTTGCATATCTCCTAAGATTATAGTTGCAGCTATAGCTATTGACAGAAGTGCATGCACGAGCTCAGTTTATTATCTTTTAATAGTAAGCAAGGGTTCGGTTTATATGAATCTATCTAATATATACCATTGGATGGAAGAGGGAAACACCTTGCCCTCTGTTTCCTAGTACTTTATTGAGAATATAAATTGTGTGTTTATTTTCCAAATGGTTTTTGAGCCACAGGCAAGGCATACTGTTCAAACTGTGCTATCTCCAAAATGAAATAATGGAAATGCGATAATATGTTAAACAAAAACTGTTGATTATGTCCTGCTAATTGTCTGTCCAGCTGCAGCATTTTCCTCCAGTCCTGAAAGGAATTACACATATGCTTAACGTAATTGAGAAAGTATGGCTGTTTAAATTCACTCTTGGGACTGTGAACTGATATAGTTGAGGGGCCATTACACCTGTTTTGTGGTTTCTTACCCTGTCCCATAAGGGAAGAAAAGGAATAGTAAGAACATAATTTCTGGAGGAGATAACTGCAGCAGTTTGAGAATAAAAGTTATTTGTTTATAATCCATGGAGTATAAGAGCTCTGCAAAATTAGGCTTTCAGAGCTGGTAGTCTCAATGTCTGAGTGGCAGAATACTGTATTTGCTTTCTTTATATTTGCTACAGAAATGGCACTTGTGCTGGCTGTTTGCCTTATCCAGTAAATTTTGACCAATGTCTTATTTCAAAGAAGTGAAGGTAGAGAGTTCTCAAAAGACCTGCAAAAGGCTTTGGTGTGGAACAGAGGCTCTGCATTGTCAAGGTTTTCTGCAGATGCCAACTGCAGGAAAAATTGCTTCAGATCCTTTTTTGGGCACTGAAGTATTCACAAGATAAGAATATGTAAGAAGCTAAGCAGTGTTGTTATTTTGTTTATCTTTAGATTTAAAATACAGCATTGCAAGTGATTGCAGTGTGATTACAATTTGTAGGTTAGATGTTTCCTTTATTATGCTTATGTTCATGTTCACAAAGTCTAGATGAGATCTGTTTTACCTAGGAATCTTGCCAGCTGTCTTGTTAGTTGACTTAATTAGAAATGTTTGTTAGATGACTGAATTAAAAGTGTTTGTTGTGATGGCATCCCCATTGTTTAACTTAAATATAACTTGTTCAATATTTTATTAGGCAAGCTACCTAAAACTATTGGCTTAATTAGTAAGGTGTAACAACTTCGAGGAATTTAAGTGTACCTCCCTTATGTATTCAGCAGAGACAGTAGCCATCAGATTCAGAAGACAGAGGCATTAATATTTCAAAGTACAGTTATTCTAAGAACAGTTTCTCTTTCAGAAGTCAAAAATAAAATCTTGAAAATTCAAATGAGGTAGATATTAACAGTATAGAACACTCATATCCTCTAGCAGTGCGGTTGCTTCAGAAGATATGACCATTTTATGTGAAACAATTTTCAAGTGAAGTGGCAAGCAAATGACAGTCCTCTGTGGCTGAGGAAGGTGACTGTATTTTTCTGTCTCATTACTGAAGATTTACTTCTCTTCCATCACGCTTTTAAAAAATATTAACATGCTGTTGTTAGTAGAGTCATCTGTACCTTCAGCTTAACTTTTAGAAAGTTTAACTCCTTTTAAATAAAGGCATTCATTTAAATAGTAGGAATAGCAGTTATCTTGGGCAGTCTATGATACTTACCCAGACAGATGCCTCCTGTAGCTCTGACAGAAACATGCAGAGGGGTTTATTCTTGTCCAGTGATATATTTCAGTGAGTTTTGTAATGAAGTAATTAAAAAACGTCTTGTTATTCTAGGTTTAGCTTCTTGTCCTTCCCTCCTTATCCCTTTCCATCCTCCCCACTATGGAAATGAGTTCAGTTTCCATTTACTTAACAATTTACATGCTTTTGCACAGACATGGAAGGGTCTGAGGCTTTTAAAAAAAAGGTTTAAAAAGTAAATAACTTCCTATGAAAAGTCTTTTTCCCTTTTTCAATGTGTCTCAATAGACCTGGTATTCGCATAGAATATCTTACTTATGCCTGTTTCAGTTCTGTCAGAGAGGACAGGGCAGATCTGTTTTCCCTACCTCTCTGTGCATTTGTGTGCTGTTATGTGCAGGCACACAGGCTGGGAAATCCCGACAATCCAGACTTTCTGAAAAGGTGCTTAAGCTTCAGTAGTTGAGAAACATTGATAAAAAGTATCGTCTATTTAATAAAAGAAGTATGTATCTGTCTCACCTGTAGGTGAGGAAAATGTGGGATATACACCATTTAAATTTGATAGCCACAGAATTGCGTTGAAATATGTGGGCTGTCATTCCTGAAGGCAGCAGAGGCATACAGATGTGTTGTGAATACTGAAACAATTTGACTGTCTCCTGGCCATCGGAGTTATCGTTGACCTCAGTCGTCCCAACCAGCAAGCATAATTTTCCCAACATCTGTTGAGTATCTGAGTGTATGTGAGAATAAAGACCTTTTACTTGATACTGGGACTATACAAAAATTATGGTTTCCTACTGTTTAATTCCATTAGCCCCCCTTGAGAACAAATGAAAAGAAGAACTTAATTTCTTTGTTGCTGGTTGATGTTTCCTCTTAGGTTAGAATAGAAAATAAGGAAAATGATAATTTTTCAGAGGTTATAGAAATAGATAGTAACAATCAGGGGAGAATAATTTAGACCAGCAATATAATATCATACTCAGAGTAAAATGTTTTGTCTCTAGAGGCTTTGCTTACTGGAAGCAATTGTACTCAGTATAAATCTCTGTTTGTGTTCTTTATTGGAAACATCAGTTCCTGAAAGTCTGCTCCTTAATTACATTTTATATTAAATTTTTCTAGTCCTGTGTGAGTTTTCTTTCAATTAAATTGTTTGGTTTTTTCCTGCCATGCCTAATTTGAGGATAAGGATTAAAAATTTACTTTTTTATTTATTAAAAAAAATAAATTTTGAAGTATGAAAATTACAGATAAACAACTACTGTGCTACCACTCGTCATGGTCAGTAGCAACTTATGAAAAGTTTTTATATTTCAGCATTAAGTATGTGAAGAGCTCCATGTATACAGTTGCTTTTTTTTGAATTTTCTTTTACAATGGGGATCCCTGTCTGTGCATATGTATTGAAGAATATTTGGTTAATTTGTTTTAGTCAGAAAAAGAGGAGTGACTATTAAATGCTTAACAGTTAATTGTACTTAATGAGGGTGCTGTTTTCATAGAATCATAGACTGTATTGGGTTGGAAGGGACCTATAAAGATAATTTAGTCCAACTCTTGCTTTTATTGGGTTTTGATTTGTTACTGTGCAGTGTAACTTTTGCGAAGGCACTTGGCCTCTGGCTTTTATTGTGTTCTGAGGAAATGAACCAGGCCAATGGTGTCTGGTTTGGAAACATCACTGAAATCTATTCTCCATATCCACCTGGTGACACTGAGGCCAGCTTTGTAATACATACTATTTTTTAAAAAAAGCTGCAAATGAAAGCTTTAATAATCAAACCAACCTTCAAAAGCTAGTAGCATTTACAACAGCATCTATTAGCTAAGCTAAGGTCCAGGTTTTTAAATAAGGTGTTATGAAGAAAAAATACAGTTTCTTAGATGTTTTTCAGGATAATTTACAGCAATTTTGCTTCTTTGTTTAAGTGAAGAAGTTTTTAGTCTGTTAATGACTGGGTTTGTAGCTGGATTTATTCAGGATTTGAATTGCGACTAACCTGCAAATCCCGTGTCTGCAGCTTTTTTTTTGACATCGTGCTAAATTGCCAGTTTTAGAAAATGTGAAATTCTAATGACTGTGAAAGTGTGCTCATGGTTTGCAGTTGAGTTATTCACTGTGTCTGTAGTGGTATGAATGCATCTTTCAGAACAATATTTTCCAGCTCCAGAGATTTTTTTTATACTATCATAATGCAATAGGTTTGTTTCTCGTTTTCGGGAAGTTGCCCAAAAGTTTCTCATGCTATCCTATGGGAATAATAGGTAGATTATAGAGACGTCTTTTGCTGCCAACAGATTTGCAGACACATCTAAACTAATTTTTTTCTGCAATACACTTGAGAACTTTTGTATTTTTTAATGATATTATTAAACTTGCATGAATAAGCAGGTACTTCATAGAGCTGCAGCCATGTACTGGCAAAACAAACAGAAGCCAGGATGTTTCTTAGTAGGTTAGTTTTCTTCATGTTTCACTGTTGTAGAAATCCAGCTAGCAGTGAGAGGTAGAAATGAGCTTAAGTTTTCAGTGGAAATAATTTGTATGTCTGCAGTTCTAATTTTTAGTCTGTAAAGTTTATCTAAAACCATCTTCTATCTGTCCCATGGTACTAATTTCATACTTGGCATCAGTTTCCTCTTCATGATCTTGCAGTAGTTCTTGTCTTTCTCAGACATTTTCAGTGTCCAGATTCTTGCAGTTCTGTGGTTAGATACCGCCCGCTATCCAAATTAATTTTGAGTAACTCAGTAGTGGGCTGTCTAGACAGAATGCTTTATATTCTTCACTACTTCCCAGGTTTCATAGAATCATAGAATGGTTTGGGTTAAGAGGGACGTTTCAAGGTCGTCTAGTCCAGCCTGCAGTGAGGAGGAACATCCTCAACTGGATCAGGTTACTCAGAGCCCTGTGCAACCTGGCCTTTAATGTTTCAAGGGATGGGGCATCTACCGCCTCTCTGGGCAACCTGTGCCAGTGTTTTACCACCCTTGTTGTGAAAAATGTCTTCCTTATATGTACTCTAAATCTACCTTCCCTTAGTTTAAACCATTACCCTTTGTACTGTCACAGCAAGCCCTACTGAAAAGTCTGTCCCCATCTTGTAAGCTCCCTTTCTTACCAGACATTTTAGGGTTTTGATAAGATTTCTGAACAGCA